GGGATTCGGAACCTATCGTCCTCCTGTGCTGGCCCGAAAAGCACACGACCGATCGGGTTCATTTATCGATCGGTCGAATGGTGCAGCCGCAACAACGGACCTGGTGCTTGCTCAGCTAGCCCGAGCGAGAAACCACACCTTTTCTACAGCTGTGAGTCTCAGGCAGGCCCAGTGAACTTCGACTGTGCGGCAGGGGTTCCGTCAGCACTCGGATGGACTGGACGTGACAACAAGAGCATTACAAAACGTACATGTCGGTAATCAGACAGTCTCGTGTTGGGATGAGAGATTTTACGTTCCGCAGATAGTGGAATATGATCCAATTAGAGCGCATTATGGGTCAGAGGGAATTTGCTTGCTTAAGGTCACGGGTGAGAGGGACGAGACGACTGAAAACTGTATTGCTTTATTAAAGCTGAACCGGATGTGTAGGCGAGGTTGTAAAGCTTTCAACCACGAAAGTTGATCGGATAGTTAGTAGTTTTGGCATTTGAATATTTCAGGAAAATCAGTATAGATAAAAGTGCAAAACGTTTTAGCCAGTTAACCTTCCATGCATCCTAACATACATTTTCGGCACGGTTCACATAAAAAGAATCGTACTTTAATCGGATAACAAAATACGGAAAGTATTGTAGGACTTACTTGAAAAGCAAATTTCAAGGTAGGCAGTGATAGATGTAATTCACCATTTCGACTGAGTCAAGTATGCAACCATGCCATTCTCTCGTGGGTGGGCTAATGCGTCTCTTCATCCGTCCCCGTGCAAAGGCTAAAGTCCAAAAGAGCTGCTTACGATTTCGGCGGGCGGGATCTGAAGTTTCTATGGCGCTCGCTTAGGCCGTGCACAGAATGACAAAACCGGAGTCGACACTATCAAAAGGACCCAGGTCTTCACAGTCGAGAACACCTCTATTCAACCATCCGATCACTCAGTCTGTCATCAGGAGCAGTTCTTAGGTGTGTTTGTATGATAAAGTATAGATAGAGAGATTGATTAATTGATTGAATAGTTGATTGATTGATTGATTGATTGATTGATTGATTGATTGATTGATTGATTGATTGATTGACTGATAGCCGTAGTTCATAGAACACGGGATATAGCAGCAGAAGTGAACATGTTTTCCACCTCTTCCTCTCTTCTTGCTGTCTAGTTGGTGTTGAAAAGAGTTCGTTCCACAGAATTGGCCACCTCCAACCGTACAACTCGAGAATGATTTCGAAAAGACAGGGACATTTATGATGCTGTATATTTCTGAGTACACCGGTTACTACAATAGATCATAGATACAGTGCTGGGGCTACCGCACATACAAATTGTCTTCCTCAGTGCTATCCAAAAAGGGGGAAATTGATATGTGCAATGGACGCATCGAAAAGAGTACATGACGTTGGGTTTAGATGAACCCATGGTAAAACCATTTGGTTTGGCATTTGGCGAATGATCGTGATCCGGTGTCACGTGAATTGCTGTCCTGCGCAACCCATACTGTAGATTAGAAATTCCTTGATGTACATCCACTTCGGTTCCACGTAATGGAAGCTCACATGAAATTCATTCATACCAAACTGAAAGTAGAAAATGAAATCAAAAAGTGCTTTCACAATTAATTAGCTTTCAGTATAATTATTCATTTGGAAGTGACATGAAAATAAGGAAAGTGTTTAGGTTTGAAGTTGATGTTTAGGCTTCAATTTAAAATAAAAGTTTCCATAAGATTAATTTTGGCAAATACCAGAAATATATATAATCAAATCTATTCTGAAAGAGTTGAATAGATTTTATAACAATGAGTGGGCGTTACTTTTATTAATTTTGCGAAAGGTTGTAACGGTAACCTGCATTTTATTTGAAAGCTAACACATTTGGATTACTGACTTTGTATCTGATTTCCTTTTTTCTGTTGAAGGTAAATTATAGGCATACTTCTGATTTGATTTATAAAAATGAATAGAATCAGTCCGAAATATTTTATCTGATAACTTCAAGCCTAAATTATAACTTTACATCTTTTTGTTTCGATGATGATCAAGACAACCGTTTACATTTTTGGTCCGATTTTGAGCACACAAACTAAATATCTTTTGGTAAGATGTTAACTGTAAAATGGATTGAAGTATTTCTATTCTTTTCAAATATTCTTTCTTCGTCAAATATTGTGAATCGCAGTCTTCATCCGTATGGTCGATAAACTCAAGTTGACTAAAATTTCAGTTTCCCAACCTACCTGTTTCAGCCAAATGTGTTTTAGTACAACAACACATCATGCCCGAGTTGCATTACTTTTATCGCCAAACATCGCGGATCTTTATTTATTAACCGGAGTAACATTTTTAACGCACCAGTTTGTCTGTTTAGTCCACCGAATGCAATGCAAATGCGTGATTACCTAGCCCCAAATTCTCAGCGCTTTTCAGTCAAGTGTGAAAATATTACAGGATCAGTTCACACTACTCACGAGTAGAATGATCATATCGCCCAAAATACTGCAGCACGATTGATAAGCGCCCGAAATCCACCGTCAGTCAGCTGATCGGAAACATTCTGAACACGATTGTGTGACATACGGAGCGCGAAAAGTTGAGCGAATTTCGGTCACATTGCAATAGTGTATGCATGCATGCACCAGCTGGTACAAAAGCATGTTCGAGTTATGACTCATGCTATCCCCTAGCCCGCACAAAATGTACAACCAACTGGTAGTGTTCTATAGTGAAAATACCTTCAAAAATTAGTGTTTTAAGTTGTGGGTATTACTGTGTCACAGTGTACGTGGTGCGACACGAGTTTTCAGGCGCACTATAGTAACCTTTTAAGCACTGAATGTTATCACCAGGCTAGTCCGTTCGATTTCACATGCACTACCCATTTAGTATGGTTCGCTCTGAATATATTGTTAAGCATCAGTTACTCTACCAATTAAATGAAAGCATTGTCTTCAAACTGATGGACTGTGCTAAGATCGTAACGCCAATACGCAGTCATTGTTAGTGACTCTTAAGTCAACACAAGAACTCAGAACCCACGAGACAGCGTGCTGATCGGACCCGGGTTAACGGTTCAATGAATGAGAATACGTCAATCGATTAAACGATGACCTAAAACTAGGTCAAGCTGGCTCACGGACAAAATACCCCCGAATGATACTGGTCAATCTAAAAAACCATGAACAACTGCGTCACCTTATTGGTTGATCGATAGGTATTGATGGATGAATGCATAAGTAGCATACGGCCTGGAGATAAACCAGTGGGAAGTTTGGGTTGATTGTATTGAATGTGCAGCTTGCGTTAAAGAGCCTAACTTGGTCTTCTACCTGTAAGTAAAAGCGTGTTACTATTACCTCGGCCTATCGGTTTGTACCACCACTATTGGGAGTTAGTAAACCTAATGCGTACGCATTTAGTGCGTCTCGTAGTGATGTAGCCATTGCTCATTTTTTTATCTTTCACACACGAATTTCACTCTAGAGGATTTTATTTGAATTTGGCGTAAATCTGTCTATTGAGTAGTGCAACAATCCAGTTGTACTTTCATTCAGTCAAATAGTACGGACGACTAGGTGATCCACCAAAATGACAACCTACCACTAATTACAACATCCAGCTGTGGTTCAATTACACTTTGGTCCTGCGAAGCTGTCTCCAATGACAAAGCATGATCACAATCCACTTAATATGGGATCATTTTCTGATAGTTAGGCACGATTTGCCATAAACGCTAATGAAAACTGTGTGATTTGCATATTAGTTCATTTTGGGAATTTCGCCCATAAGACATTTAACCACCCAAGTCATCCGCTCAATCCCGGCCTCTGCTTCCGTTTTCGGGCTACAACCCGATCCAGTTATCTCTGCTTTTCCTCCAGCATAAACATTTATCACAATTCAACAGTAACCTATTTGGCTTGCATCCTAACTGACAGTAAGAAGGTCCTCAACGAATAAATTTCACATTAAAAAGATCATCTTTTGTTTGCGTTTTATCATCATTGTATCTGATTTTGTCATTGTTTATCCCACTGTAACGATGAACACATGTTTTGACTGAAATTTAGGTTTAGTTGCTTGCAAAACTCATTAAGACGTAGTAGAATGCAACAAAATACAATGTAATACCACTTAAAAGCCCTACCCTCTCCCCATTCCGGTTTAGAATCGTCTGCGTCTATCTGACACGAAAAGATGACCGTTTCGTTCCTCGTGAAAAAATCAAATCGCAGCTGAGACACGTGCCTTTTTCGCATAGCCTCAGAAACAAACGCGCTTTGTCACCGTCCGTCAATGCCATCTTGTGATGACTGACGGTTGTGACGCGTTTGTCACGAGCAGCGCATGGTTAAGCCCAAAGTGGGCAGGTTCCCTCGCCAGATGCATTGACTATTCAGAACAGGAGGAGGAAGTAGTGTGAGCTTGTGAATTGGGATCACGATTTGCCATTTGACACAGTTTAGCCAGAAAACGTTTAACTGAACCTCAGGATTGCATTTCCGATTCGGTCAAACACCTGATTGAGGAAAATCGTCGTGGCCATGGTGACCAAGTCTTGATTATATGGAATGGTAGCTGTGATATAATGAGGTTCAATGATTGTAAGCAAAAATACCACCATTGGTAAGCGATCGAATCACAATATGAGAGTAGGAGAGGATTTAGTTCAATGAAATACCCCCGTGACAAGCGTATTCTTAAGCCTTAGGTTTGTGGATTATCTCCGCTCTCCCGTGCACAATCATCACAATTTTGAGAATTTAGACTGTTAGGGTTGCCAATGGTCAGCAGGTGAAAAGACAGTGTCATTGACTGACCTTTTATGATGTTATGAGTGCCGCTCTTGTCATGTGGTTTAGTGCTTGACGCATTCATTCGAACATACACGGATCTGACAATCAGACGGTCTTTGTTCTTTCTCTCGATTTGGGCGATCCGGGAACGTAACAATTGGCGACGGGAACAAACCCACGCGTTTAAGTCAAAACAAAATCATGTCAAACCAAATGGAAATGTTCATGCAAATGCTTCAGACACAAAACAAACTCATCGAAACGTTGGCCAAAAAGATGGAACAATCTTCATCGCTTCAATCAAGAAATACAGGTGTAACTAGTGTCAACCTCGCCAATGCGGTTACAGAATTAACATATGACGCAGATGCAGAATTGACGTTCGAATCATGGCACGCAAGATTTGGGGATATATTCACCGTGGATTGTGCTCTATGGGAAGACACTGACAAAGTAAGACTGCTCATGCACAAACGTGGCTCCGCTGACCATCAACGATATGCCAACTATATCTTACCTCGTAAAACAACAGACATACAATTTTCAGAAACAGTGAAGTGCCTTACCCTAATGTTCAGTGCTCGTGCTTCATTATTTCATACACGATATCAGTGCCTCCAAGTCAAGAAAACACAGTCAGAAGATTTTGTGACATATGCAGGGAGAATCAACCTCGATGCTGAGCGGTTCAAACTGAAGGACATCTCAATGGACCAGTTCAAATGTTTGCTATTCGTCAGCGGATTGCAGTCATCCGCCGATACAGAATTACGCAATTGTATACCGTCGCCAATTGACAATTCCCCGGACCTCACTCTGCACAACACAACAGAAGAATTTCAACGTATCAAAAACATAAAAAATGACTCCACATTGATAACGAAAAGTCCGGAATACATTAACGTGAATCGCTTATAAGTTTTACCGAACAAACCGAAAGCTTGTAGTGCATCGATCAACCCCAAGTCTAGACCGCCTACAGCATGCTGGCAATGTGGTGATTGGCATTTTGTGAAATGCTGTCCATAAACCGACTGAATCTGTCATGTGTGTGGTAAAAAAGGGACACAAACACACAAACTGTTATCACTACACACAGCCATCATTCAGGCAAAATGGATTACATCGCAAAACTTCAAAGAGTCACACAGAGTTATTGTGTAACTCTGGTATTGTTCTCTCTACCACTACAGAATTTATGTCTACTGTTATTAATGGTCTCCCGCTAATTTTTCAGTTTGACTCTGCGTCAGATATACCTATTTTGACACGTCATTCATGAAAAGCTCTAGGCTGTCCAGCTCTCCAACAAACAAATAATTCAGCATAAAACGCTTCGGGTAAACAAATGGTTATTGTTGGGATGGTCAAATATGTGTGCAATTTTCGTGGCATGACACTTACATCCAAGGTGTATGTTGCCAATGGCTGTTCACGCAATTTAGTTGGCATTCAGTGGATTGACAAATTTGAAATTTGGGATATTCTTGTGAACATATTTTGACATTTAAGGGCCAAGGATATCATTTAGGTTTTTTTTCATCTGAAGAATCGAAACA